TTATATTCGGGATCAATTAATTATTAAATAAACAAGTAAATGTTTAAATTAATCGTTTGTTTTAGGTTGCCTCGACAGTCCACTATTTTACTACCCGTAGCTTGTCATACCTTAGAATTGGAATGATATTTTAATTTATAATAACACTTAGGTAGACATCTCTTCATGCTCTTTAGAAAAATTAGTTTGGCCTTTTAGGAAGAACTTTTTTCTTCTTTTCTAGAATGTTATCCCCCACCGAAGTTTTCTTTTAATCTCTTTTTAGTATTGCTAACTTTCTGGGAACATATTTATTTTAGATTGAAAAGTATCTTTTACCGATTTTTCATTGTGTTTACTTAGTTTCCTTCATTCTCTAGTCACTATTTTCACACATGACTTCAACCATTGAATTTAAGAAAATTAGTTAAGTTCAATTTTTCATAAATCGTTTCAATAAATAGATAGTTGTTTAAATACAATCCAACTAGTTAGTTAGTGAAAATTTTCACTGTCAACCTATAATTAGATGGAAAAAAAAAAACACTCTTCTGCAAAGCATCCTTTCTATTATCATTCCTCATTTTCATTTAATTTATAATAACACTTAGGTAGACATCTCTTCATGCTTTCAAAGATTTCTTCACCTTAGATACTTCAAACCTTTTCCTTTACCAACTTAAACACTTCCTTGAAGCTAATCTATGGCCACATATTTTACCAACTAGTAGAGAAATTCCGAAGTGTTTTTAACTTCCAAATATTCATTTTCCTAATTAAGATAATAGAAGTAGGAAACTGATATTTCTAATGATACAACATTTTCTATGTTTTTAGAATAAGGGGCAATAGTGTAATATATGATTATGCTTTATGTTTGTGTTGCCAATCTAAGACTTCAGTTTTGTTACAGTTGCTTCCATCAATAATTATGTTGATCATTCTTTGATTTAACTAGGCCTGAACAAACAATGGGTATGCCAATTCATCAAATAGCCCCTATTTATGCAAATCGGGTCACTACACAACGTAAGGAAGCACCAGGTCTTGAACCTTCATATTATAGGTAATTATTTATTTGAAGCTTTTTATGCTTTTGTATAAATACAAGAGTTATATGCAATATTATATGTATTTTTTTTGTACAATATTTTAAATAATAAAATCAGAATTTTACCTAAAAAATAATTTTAATCTTTAATATTGATCTTTATTATATTTTTATTGAATAGTAACTCTAATTTTAATTAAAAAATAATTTAGATATTATATCCAAGTTTTGTCTTATATTTAATTTAAAATATTTCTAGGTAGACATATATGTTTAGTATTTATCTGTCTTTAAGTTGGTAGCTATGAGAATAGCTACACTTAACCTAACCTAATTACGATGATTTGATTATTTGAAAAAGTGAATGTAGCTTCATTTACTAAATTTTGTACTTAAATTCTGTCCATTACTTAAACCTTTGAGATAATAAGTTCATAATATAATATTAGTTCTCTAGCTGTGTATTCCTTTTCCATTGTTCATACTGTAAATTCATTCCTTTTATTCTATTGCTTAAGCTTTTACATAGTTTGTGATAAAAATAACAACTTGGGTTGAAATTAACAAATAGCTAGGCTTTGAGACTTCATGTTCTTATTTATTTATATGGTTGAATGTTCACAGGGCACTTCCTTCAAATTCAATTCCTCCCAACAGTTTGAACTGGAATCCTACGGCAATTGTTTATACTGATGGTCCTACTTTTATAACTCCTCAGCAAAATCAAAGATTGAGCATACAAAATGGGAAGGTAAAAGTCTCAAATTCGTTGTCTATCTTTTTAAGCCAAATATGATGTCATACAGTCATTATTAAAATATCTAAGTCTGAGATTCTCTAACACATAAAACATTATTATGGATCTTGAAAAGGAACCGGCAAATGAAGAACCAGACGCAGAAGAATGGGAGTTGAGAGTCAGAAAGGTAAGCCTCGTATTAAAAAATTTGTTAGTCATAAGAAAAGTGATTTTGTTTTCAAATATTACTTCGGTTAACTTGCATAGCAGGAACGAGAAGAACTGCCATACCCATATGGTGGTCATCCCCTAAACCAAGTTGAAATAGGAGAGAGTTCATCTTCTAAACGTCAAAAGGTACCCAGTTTTATTTTTCGTGTATGAGATGTGGAGCCACATTATAATTGGGAGTACCCATAGCAATCACAATTTTTTAATTTTTTTTCCCTTTTTTGTGGATAACCAATAGATATAGTTGATTATCTCAAAATATCATGTAACCTCTTTTGAATTTTCAGTAAACTTTTTGTTGGGTTACATTGATAAATATATTCTAATTCGGTCCTTCAATATTTTTCACTTTTTGTTCTTTCATTTTCTTGCTGTAAAGATTAGGATTAGCTAGTGTGTGATTTATTAACCCAGGATGAAATTTCAAGATTGAATTATATTATTTTTATACACACTATCTATAATGGTTTTTTATATAAAAAAGTATTTATCTCTTTTTATTACATTACTTATGTTATCTCATCTCATACTTTTATAGCTATTTCTCTCTTAATTGTAAAATGAAAATTAAAAGTATTGTACAAATAAATTTTCTGTTTGAGGTTATTCTACTTGGCTTGTTTTGACTGGTTGTAGAAGGATCCACCTATAGAAGAAAAAGCTGACGCAAAGGGTAAAACCCCAGAAGCAGACCTGACAACTAAGAATGAAGTGATGAAAAATCAGAACCACAACGCTACAAACTCTTCCTTGGTGCCATATTCAATGTTGTCTTCCTCCAAAGCTTCAATCTACTCGTAATTCTCAACTGTTGTTTCTCACCTTATCTCTTTGAGATTTTAACTGCCATGTCACGTTTTTTTGATATTTCAGGAATTCTCTCTATGATCCTATATTTGAGAGTCTTGGCCTTCCAATTGACCCCCATCTTAGGGTGTGGAAAGCATTGCAAGGTAATTACAATTAATTAATTAATTACTTTTTTGAACTATCCTCATTTTCTTTCCCTGTTCATAGCAGTTCATTGACTTTTTATCCAGTGATATATAGATACAATTTGAATGAATTTATCAATAAAAATTTATAAAACACACTCACACATATTAATTTTATTCTTCTACATGCACACTTGGTTTATATTTTAATTAGTCTCTGTAACTAAATCAAGGAAAATTTACAGTACAATCGAGCATTACATATGTATCCAAAAAATCTTCCAGTTTTTTCTTATAAGAATGATTTTGTTCTTAATGCAGATCCAGAAAAATATGGGTACTACCTGTTGTCATGAAAAATGTGTGGCAATTCTCAATATCCGATCGGTGAAATGGGGTCAACTCAACTGTCTTAAGAGTTTTTATTGTTTTCCAATCAATTCCGAAACATGGGATAATGTCACTCTATATATTTTGTTGTCATCAAGAGTTTAACCAGTTGAGACCCATCTTACTTATTTCTGTCTAGTACCCGTGTGGTGCATGTCTTTTTCATTTCAGTACTGTGACTTGCATAAGCTAAATTTGGTGTAGTATCTATATACAACTTTTTATTATTTTTCATGGGTTTAGTTTATAGTAGTACCCCCTCTTTTTATTCATGCCTCTGTTAATAATGGCTATATTATAACTTGTTCTGCACATATTTTGTAGAAAATGAAAGAAACACGTTGAATGATTACATATATGAATAACTTCTTATAAATCATCATTAAATATTATTTAATTGTTAATATTTAATTGTTTAGTGTAAAAATAAATAACTATTTGCAAATTTAGAAAAAGATTTATCTAATTGCAAAATATTGATATATTCTTAGTGGAATGGACCATCAAGTAGGAGTTATCTCTTTTGAACCATAGAGTATGGGTGGAACCTTTTTTTATTTAAAACTCTCTCTCGCCCTCAAGCGGGGGTTTGAGAATTGAAGATAGACGATAGGAGTGTGATTTCTTATACAGCTTTGATTTATAAATATTTTAAGTTTTAAAATTTATTCAAAATTTTTTGTCTCTCTATTTCTCTCTTTTTATCAATTACTTTATTTATTACATCTCTTTTTCTATTCCTATTTCTCTCAAATTATAAATACTCAATAGAGCGTTAAATAAATATTTTTCTTTTACATATAACAAATTTTCAACCCTTTTCCCAATTCATATAGCATGTCTCTAGAGCTTAATATCAACAAGAGACTTGAGACCAATCTTTCTTGTTTTTTAGTCATTTGAGGTCTTTTTTTTCCTGTTTTTTTTTTTTTCAAGAGGAGAGGAATAAGATTGTAATTTTCATATACAATATAGTTTGAACTTACATTCCATGTATCTAACGTTACCGCTAGGTTACTTTTATCAGTTCTATCCATTTTTTCCTTCTTTTTCTGCTCCAAGCCTGTTGTCTAAAAACGTGGGTTGGAGAAAATGGCCACGCCCATGTACCTGGACTTGGGCTGCTTTAAGTATATTGGACTTTATTTAGTGCGAGGTTATATTTAGCCTAATTTTTAAAAAAAATATTAATATTTACTTTTTATAACATTTTAAGAAAAGATTTGAAACAAACGATTATCTTTTTGCTTTGGTTCGTTCCTAATACTTTCCTGCTGAACACTTTTTTTGGGCATTATCGACATCCCTCTGGCATAAATAGTGCCAATTTGCTTCTTTCTTTGTTCCTTTTTGATTTAAAAAACAAACTTGTTAATGATATTATTTTCTTGCATGAAAGGTTTTAGCACATTAATCATGTTCAGTGAATCATATCTGTATAGCAGACCAGTGGAGAATGAATAATAGCATCTTGTTTCGATGGTGCTTATTTTCTCCACGGTCTCATCACTAGGAAAGAATGTTTTCAAGATTCGGTTCTTTCATGCTTTATTCACTCTATCTTGCTCACAGTGTTCAATCATATTTTAAAATTTAAACAAGTGAAAAGGAATGTTGAAAGGAAAATGAAAGAATACAGCTAAATTATCCACCACCACCTTAACTCAGGTTTCATCATTTGTAAGATTTGTAAATAATATTCACACTTTCTGTAAAGAAGTAGTGAAATTGTGAGTTACATAAAAAGCGTAAGGAATCTTGGTTGCACAACTATGATAATTCAACCAACAATATCACCTCACACAATAGTCCTTGATGCACAGACATGCACACATTGACTCTCTTGAAGTATTGTTTATTTGGTAATAAAAACTCTAATACCATGCCAGAGACAGATTCTCCTAAACTCTCCAGGTAGAGCTCAAGAATGTCTATGATATCTCAAACAGTTTCTACTTGCAAAGTCAATCAGTAATGATGAAATGGAAAATTTTCATAGGTAGGTAAATAGAAGGAACTTGGGTGCCCCTATGCTAATGAACGCAGCTGAAACTTTCTCAAGCGTAGTTAAAGAGCTGTGGCAATTGAAAAATAGCAATGTTATAAAATCAGAGAAGATAACTATATTGCCCAACTATACGGAAATGCTAAAATCGGAGAAGACTCTCATCATTAGAAAGACAATGAATTGTAATGTTCCAGCTGCTCATGATTCACAAAGTTTTTAAGGTGAATTGAGCCACCCTGGCAACAATCTTTTCAATCTTCCTTTGCAAAAGGCACAAACTTAATATTCCAAAATATATTGCTCCAGAAAAAGATTTTGATCCCAACAAAATGAAAATTTCTTATATCACTAACATAAAAAATTTTAACAGATGAAACTCTCTCGAGAAGCATGAATGAAAATATTTAGTTTACAATATTTCTCTTCAAAGTACCATAAAGAGCTTTTTGCACCAATGCAAATAAACCTCAATAGCGAGAGTTATCAAACACCCATGGCTCATGCAAAAACAGCTCACGGCCATTCATTTGAACTGTTCCAGCAGCAATATCTTCCGCACGTTTCCTGGATACTTCAGCTTTTCTGGCTGATGCAGCAGCATCCTGAAAAAGAAGTACACATACCATCAATTTGGAGACAACAAAGGATTAAATTGGTGATTCCCTGCAACAGAACAAAGCTTCTCACAACCAACCAGCTTAAAAGTGCTTCAATCTGATTGACTTGAGACTTTCGGCAGGGAAGTTTAACAAATTGCTTGCAATTTTATCCCCAATGGCTAGGGCATTTAATTAGTCAAATTATCGTATTGAATACATCTATATTCTTGGTTCTTTGCTTTTCCATTTTCTTGTCATTGGTAATAATCAAAATCTAACCAATTAGTTTAAAAAACATTATCTGATTTGCATCCTTCTACTTTTAAGGGAGACAAAGAGCTGATTGAACTAAAATTAGTAGCATGTGCCAGCAAATCTGATAACAATCTAAGGGCATGTTTGGAGACAATTAATTTTTAAGAACCAAACACTTATTTTTGAAAAGTTGAACCAAAAGCTGGTAAAAACGTGCAATTAGGAAACCCCCAACATATTTCGTGTTCAAACAACAATTTAAATTAGTTATCCGATTTTGTGATTGGACCACCATATATCATGCCATCAAGTCTTGATACTCAGAACTATCCCAAGATGAAGTGGTCTTCTTTGTTGATCTAAACTTCATTACAATCATAATTTTGAATATATTTTATCTAAGAAATACATAACCACGACTCACTAAATTATTGGATAAAAAAGTCTCGAAGTCATATTGTTAAAATTAAGAAGAAAATGGAATGCGAAACGCAATAAACAGAGAAAGAATGAAAAGCCCTAATGTGAGTAATTGGGAAAGTGAGAGATGAAGAGGCGAGACCTTCTGGCGCTTCCAAGAGAGGAATTGGTGTTGTGTGAGGGTAGGCTTTGGCCTCTCTTCTGCGTTCTTTGCCTGTGATTCAATATCTGCTCCCATTGTGTCGTTAACGACCAAACCTCCAGACACTGAACACAAGGGCGACCCCAAAAGGATATACTTAGCAATAAGGCCCTCAACGATGTCTCGTATGAATTGTACCTTACTCCCTCACTTTTCTTTTTTCAATATTAACATTTTACACAGAAGTTAAGACAATAATTTACATTATAAATTTTATAAATAATATTTTTTATTATGATTTTATTTATACTAATTTTCTTATTTATTGCTTTTAATTTAATCAAAACTTATAAAATAAATTATCAAATTCATTTGAACTAATTCATTTTATGCAATAAATTTTAAAAGATTAAATAATGAATGCATTAAAATGACTTAATCTTAATGAAAAGATAAAAATAAAAATAAAAATTTATTCATTTTATGCAATAAATTTTAAAAGACTAAATAATGAATGTATTAAAATGACTTAATTTTAGTGAAAAGAAAAAAATAAAAATAAAAATATATTTATTTTATGCGATAATTTTAAAAGGACTAAACTCTCACTTTGGTTCCGGAAAAAGTTTGAGTCCAGCATTTTAGTCCTTGAGACATTTAAAATATTACGTTAGTTTTCAATTTCTTTCTCAATTATTTATCTTAGTTCCTGACGTCAGACCTCGTTAAAAAATTGTAACAGAAGGTTGAGTTAACAGAAGGTTGAGTTGTCACGTTAAGTGCTATATCAGAATCCCACTTGATAGAAAATGAGTCATTTTTGGAAGTTGGCATGATAATTTTAATTGCAAAACGATGTTGTTCTAATTGAAGCCTTTCTTGCCCAAACTTAATGATATATTTCCTCATTTGTGTCGAAGAAAAACCCTACCCTAAGTGCACGCATAATCTCTCCCAAATTTTTGTTCGTAGTTATGTTTGGGGGTGAAATATTTAAAGATTGAAATTTGTTGTAGTGGAAGAAGGGTCAACAGATGAAAAATTTGGTAAAAAATTTCTTAATTCATTGAGTCATTTTTTTGTTTTGGAGACAAATAATCCTAAGTAATGTTTTGGGGACGAACAAGATAAGGAAATTAGATCCGTGGCTTTTAATTGTGCATGATTTTTGTTTTCTATTAGTTTGATGAGGGTTTTTTAATTGATGGATCTATGTATCAGCCCCTAGTAATGTTTTACATTTTTTATTTTAGGTGTTCCGTAGGACTGTGAGGACTTCAGATCGTTTTGGTTATGATCTGTGTATTAGACCTTTGATGGTATGTCTGTCCCATGGAGAACAATCAATGATGAGAGCATTCATGTTCTACCTTCTCGTGTTGAGGTGAAGACTAAGTATGAACTGGGAGGAGTTCATTAGGTAGGCAAGTGGTTTCAATATCTCAGATTTCTGTTGTGATTGAGAATTTTTTTCTCGGTCAGGGTCACTGTGGCGATTCACATGGTGATGAATCTTCAGAGTTTAGGAGGTAGTAAGAAGCAGGGAAGTTCCAGTGGTGGTGGAAATTGTCCAAATGTATGGTCAATGTTGGTAAATAGGTCCTTAGATCAGAACTACACTGTTTTGCAGTTAAAAGTGACACTTCAACTTTCAAAAATGACAATATTTCTGTCAAGTAGAATTTTGATATAGCACTTAATGTAATAACTCAGTTTTCTATCACAGTTTCTTAACGAGGTCTGATATCAAGGACTAAAATGAATGACGGAAAAAAAAAGTTGGGGACTAACATGATATTTTAAATGTCTCAAGAACTAAAATGTTGGACTCAAATTCTCTCAGGGACTAAAGTGAGGGTTTAGTCTTTTAAAAGTCTAAATAATGAAAATATTAAAATGACTTAATTTTAATATATTGAAAAAAAATTAAATTTTGCTTAAAAGAGAAGAGAAGAACGGAAAAAAAAAAAAAGGAAAGAAAATATTTGATATTTGAAGGAAAGGTGAGAATGAGGGAGGAAATTTTTTTTCTATACAAAAAAAAATTGTTCTTAAATGGAAGATAATGGAAAAAGAAGAGGAAATGAATTTAGATTTTTTTAATAAAATATTTTTCAATCTCTTTTAATAAAATTTTAACTATTAATTTTTGTTTTAATGGACAATAAAAAAATTAATTAATAAAAATTAAAATGGACAAATTAACTTGTAATTGATTATTTTAATAATTTAATATAAAAATTAATTATTAAGATTTTGTTCGAGAAAATTTATTGCAAACGATTCAATTTTAAAAAGAAAGCATACAAAAGGAAATCACATGAAATTTTAAGTTTTTTTTATTTTATTTTAAATATTTATATAATATACAAATTAAGAATAAATATTTTATTAAGAAAACAATCTTATAAAAAAAAATATATTTTTATAATTATTTTAAATATAATTATTTTATATTTTTTTATACATATCATTTTTCACTTCCTATGTATGTAGAACATGTATGTTCTATGATGTGTACATATAAGCAAATAAATTTATTTGAATTTCTTGTTCATATTAACTAAAAATATTTTTTTATAAATTATTTTGAGATGCGTGTCAAGGATAATGTGTCTTAGTATTTTATAAAGATTATATTTTTATTTTTAGGAACTTTATCAATATTAAAAAATTTCATAAATTTCTCTTAGTATATGTGTGTAGCACATTCAATTTTTATAAATTTTTTTTCTCAAAATTCTTGATGAGTAGTATCCAGTTGAAACAAATACTCTCTCCTTTGACTAAAGAGCACGTTTTTTATTTATCAATAGAATATTTTTTCGAATACACTAAAGTTACTTACCCTTTTCATTTTGGAACAAATGTTAGAACGAAAATTTTACTCACTTTTTCTTTCATTTTTGATGCAACAAGATGGAGAATAACACTTTCTATTAATATTAGTTAAGTAACATTGTACCAATGATAATTCATTTCACTATATTTTAGTTTAACTTAAGAGAACCCGCTCACCACTCCCCCACCTCAATTAAGTAACCAATTAGAAAAGCTTATTTTTCTTTTTTCTAATTTTCAGTCCAATAGAGTAGAATTCAATAATGTAATAAAAAATTTAAAGCCACTAATTCTTTCTCTCAATTTCGGTTATATGACTAATGTAGTAGGCTACTCTATTTCATCCTCTAATTGAACATACTCCCGAAACCTATCATACATAATTCTTTCTCTATCTCTTTCTCTTTCTCGTTCTTAGTGTAGTAGGAAGGAAAATATTAAAATATGCTAAGTTAACTCATCTTTACATCTTTGAATTCTCACTCTTTTTTCTCCTTTATTCCAACAAAAATTCTCCCTCATTATTGTTACTCACCTCACGTGTTCACTCTCTAAAGTTCAGCACCTAAAACTCAACAAAAAAAGAAAAGAAAATTAACTTTTATCCTCCACAAACAACTAACATCTGACATTTCCTTTATTCACGGGAGTTAACCTACATTGTGATAAGAACCAAATCAATAAAAGAGAATTAAAAAAAATAAAAATTTTATTATTGATTAAATAAAGTACTCCCTTGCCTTCCCTCCTTCCCTCCCCTCCCCCCAACATTCACCTAGTCCTTTGAAGTTCAATTAAGTTTCAAATTAATTGAAGTATATATATTAGACCCTATTCATGCTTAACCTTAGGTTGAGCAACTCCAACATATATTCTAATAGTACAATTTTGCATGTCATTATTCCTTTTTTCATTTCTATCAATATTGTAGTAATAACCGGTGTAACCTATTATTATTCAAAAGTTTTGGCGACAAAAGCATGGTCAATAAGCTAGACTTCATTTTATTCTTTACCCTTGTCGGCTTATGAACTACATTGATGTTTTGTGATTGTAGAACCACTTCCTTGTTCACCATCTTCTTCATCTATGTGGTAACATCAACCGTTGCTCATATGTCATTGTTCTAAATATGCATAACAATACCTATATGTGCCTTTATCTTGACTAAAATAGAAAGATCATAATTTGTTAGCTCTTGTGATTATTGTGGTAAGTTGGCCTGCATGCTTATGAGCTTGAACACCTTAATCATTAATGACATGAACATGTCTCAAATCAAATCTAATTTAAGTAGGTGTAATGTTGGTGGGTTAGTTGAAACTCTTGAAACCCAACATTTCATATCTTTCATATCTTCATCATGATTCATATTCATATAAAGGTTACCTCTTTTAGTGAATGACCACTCTTATTTTTTGTTTCTTTTGCTTCCGTGCCATTAATGTCATCTGCACAACCTTGATCCTAGTTTTTCATCACTAAAATTATTGTTAGTGTTGATTTACCATGGTTTTCCTCCTCTTTTTTCTTTATATCTTTATTGTTTTTACTTTCTTGCTCTACAGAACCTTCACCTCAACCTAAATTGCCACATGGGTCACATTCAGGCTGAAATCACTCAATCATTCCTTTTTGAACTCATTTTATGTCAGTTTGTTTATTTAGAAATCCCACCATTAAAACCAATTAAGGGTTTTCCCTCCATTGCTACAAGAACAACCTTTATATTTTCTTTATCTTTAGCACTTCTTAATTTGAAATACTTTTCAATTGTGTGGATTCACCCATACAAATCATCTCCATTAAATAGTAGAATGTCAATCCTCCTCATTTGTCTTGATGAATAAACTAATGCTTAGATTCAAGCTAAGAATCTTCTCCCCTTGAATCATTTTCTTCTTAGTCCTTTTTTCTTTATTTTTTGCCTTTGACCCTTTCCTTTCCTAAGATTTTGTATCTCTCGCATAACTACCTCAAACTTATCATTCACCTATTCTTTATAGATCTTCTTGCTCCCATCTTAATTCATGACTCACATCTTATTGATGATTCTTCCATACCTATATGCTTAGTTCCAACGCATCTAATCAAGTTCTCATCTTTGTGTAGACTATAAAACTGCTATTAAGACATGGATATTTGATAACAATTGATAGGAATCAAATTAATAAAAGATAAAAAAAAAAGATAATTTTATTATTAATTTAGTGGATTTCTTAAGTTATTTAAGAGAACCTGAACTTTCCCTACTCTTAAAAGCGTATAATCTTTTTTTCAATTGACAATCTACCTTTCTTTCCTCTCTTTTGTTCTATCTATACAAGTGATATTCTTTCTTAATTGTGATTAA